TGCAACTATTAAGTATTTAATGTGCGTATTAGATATGTCTTCAAAATTATAAAATGTCACTTCTATTCTAGTACAATGGACTGAAATTCCAATGAAGTACATGTTTACACGTAAGTTTCACGCTTTTGCATAAGCGGTTCGTTTCGTATTGTACGGGTTACATGGATGATAAGGTGCAGTGTAATGCGATACAAGGTGCAATGAGATAATGCGTAGAGTGCAATTGTATATTGTATATAGTGCATGCACATTTCACGCGGTGGCATATTATCGCTTTTTGTTGACAGATAAGTGCACATTTATGTTTCACGCGTTTAAAATCCAATTAGTTATGTGGTACTTTTTTTTTTCCATATGATGTTACCATTTTATGTTGTGCAAGGCGGGTTCAAGTATTAAGGTGCAACGATTTTTGGACGATATTGCAACAGTTGATTGTATAAAGTGCAACGGCATACAATACAGTGTGCATTATAGTGTTATTGCGAGACATTATGATATAAGTCATTTTTTCACGCGTTTGCCGCGTTCACTCTCGTGTATTTCAATACCCTGCTGTGCATTTTCCCCATTTAGTGCTCGTGCACTACACGAATTTGTGTAGAACACAATCAATCCGATAACGCGTCAATTAGTATTAACATAAAAATGAATAATATTATGATCTTTGACATAAAAAAAATCCAAAAATAAAAAATAAAAATAAAATTGTAGCATGAACCATCAGACGTCAATCGTTCAAAAGACTATATAATTGTAGCACTTGCTCCAGCATAGTTCCTATCATCATTGCGTCTACGACCTGTGATTGCTCGGGAAAAAAATATATATATGTTATCATATATCGTACTTGATATTGTTTAGAAAAAAATAAAAAATAATATATATATACATATGTTACCTGATTAATTCGCCTACAATTTTTTGGGGCACGTGCGCGCGTTGTGTCCTGACCTTTCGCCACACGACTTGCAAACTCTTCTCTTCTTTTGTGAACTTTCAATTGCCTTTTCTTTCGCACTCTTTATATGCTTGCCACTGCCTTTGTTTTTAGAAACCGATGGAGGCTTAATGCTTACTTCTGTAGGTGCCGACATGCCAACAAAAGACTCAAACTGGTGCTCTCTATCAATGATCTTCGTGCCCCCTTCTTGACCAGACATCAACTTAATCTTTTGTGCTTCTATGATATTGGAAAAATCTGTGAGCCGGTCAATGCAAGGCTCCGCCAACCCCATGCATATATGTATATCCGACCACAATTTGTTCATCAAGTGTTTCTTATCATCAGTACGTGCAAATTTTGCAGCGGCATCAGTGAGAACATTGTGCATGGGCTTATTAATAGCCGTCTTTGTCCATCTCGATAGTATATATGCTGATGGTATAATTTT